CTAAAAAATTGGAGATCAATAAGACAAAATAAGTAAAATTTATTAAATCTGTAGCACAATTCATTTTTTTTCTTATCATTAACATATTGGTATATTAAAAGAGCAACCCACCAACTGAATTAAAACTTTTGTTACATAGGGATACGGATTCATGTTAAAAAACCAAGATATCCTAGTACTAATCCAGAACTATTGACGTTATCAAGTAAGTAGTCATTTTTATCTTTTGATCCTAATTATCATTGTTTTTGATACAAATATGATTATTACTTATATACAGGCAGTAACTGTATAGAGAAAATTTATAAGTTATCTCATTTTTAAAAAATGGCCTCTTTAAATTACGTATTTCATTACATCGTATTACATTTTCTATTATGTTGTTTAAAAATGCATTAGTTATATTTTAGATTTCCACGTATTTATTTGTATTAATAATCTTGAATTGCAGATCAACTCGAGCAGAATTGTGAGATGTACCAGAATAAAAATCACGAAGTTGAGGGAGACATTATTCTTGACAAAGACATACAATGAATCGTGTAGAAGTCCCAGAAGACGTGATAATTGTACAGGAAAGTAGACATGAAGAACTACAACTATCAGAAATAAAAGAAGGTATTAATGGAGAAGAAGACAGGCATATCGTTAGTGATGATGATGGTAATGATGGTGATGATCATGATAGTGATGACGATCACGACAATGATGATAATGATGATAACTATGATAGTGATGAGGATGAGAAAGATGAATCAACAAGCCAAGATGAATCAGAAGATGAAGAGAATGAAACTTCTGATGAAGAAGATACAAATGTCAATGAAGATGCAGATATTCCCATATATTCGGGGGCTCCGATAACTTTATCAGAAAGTATAATAAGTATTTCGAAATGTGTTATGACATACAACTCAACCGGTGCTGCTTTCGCCGATCTGTTACAATTAATTTTAATTCACCTACCATCTGATTCACTGCACAAGAAAACAATCTTTAAATTTATGAAGTTCTTTAATAATAATGCAAAACCCTTCAAGAAACATTATTATTGTGCTGATTGTATGAGTAGCTTACATTCGAGTATATCTACGTGCAATTGTGTTAACCACGGAAATAATGATGGAAACGGAAAGTCTTGTTTTCTTGAAATTCCAGCAGCTAATCAATTTCGAGAATTACTACTACAACCTAGTTTCGTTGACAATTTATCATACTGTTTTAATCGTAAAAAAGACAATGATACTTTTGTGGAGGATACATTTGACGGTAAACTACATCAACAATACATGAACTGTAATAATCCTAACAATGACAAATTTAATCTTTCGTCGATGTGGTACACAGGCAGGGCTCCAGTATTTAAATCACGGTCTTATTGTATCCGGCCATTTTATTTAATAATTAATGAATTGCCGTATGAGAAACGAATGATGAAAGAAAATATTATTGTAGCTGGACTTTGGTTTGGTCCTTTCGAGCCTATGGTGGCTTATGTTATGTAATAAGAATCGGTGATGTTGCTTCTATTGAGAAACCGGATAATAACATTGAATATAGTGAATAACAAGAAAATAAATTTAAAAAATTGGAATGCAACCATTTTTTATCAATAAACAGATTTTGTAAATGATTCCTTTGTAACTTTATATATATTGCTGTATTATATTTTCATATGTACATTAAAACTTTGATTTTTGAATAAAAAATAAAGTAGATGAATTACACTAAAAAAATTTTATTTATAATGAAAAACAAAATAAATAAATATCATTACATATGTCATTTTCCTAACTTAAAGTAGCATAAAGATACGTTAATAAAAATTTTGTAATTATAATCATGATTAATGATTTATATAGCATGAAAAAATTAATTAACGTTACTTTTGCAGCTCTATTGACAAAATCCAGTCGTAGAATTGAATCGAATTCATGCAGAGATATGATACATGGTTATTTTCTCAGATTGTGTACAACCGCTGTACGCCTGTCTGTGCGGCCGTTTCATTTGCACTGTAATGATGCCTCAGTACGACCCTATGTAAGACTCAAACTATGGCTTTTTTGATTTTTCTTTCTACATAGGCGGTCGTACTTCCTAATGTTTAGACTCTCAGATTTTTTTGTACTTATATAGGCCACGTACGTCCCGAAAGAATCCGTAAAGCCGTCGTTTCGATCATGTTCAGCACCTGATTATTTTGACTCTGGATAATTGTTATTGTCTATCTGTCTATCTATCTGTCGATCATTCTTTTATCTATTATCTCATACTCTCTCTGATGCTTTTTCTTATCTATTTTCTTATACTCTCATGCATTCTCTTATCTATTCTCTCATACTCATTCTCACATATTCTCACATCTTCTTTCTTATTCTCTCTGTTATTTACACTTCCATTTTTGCTTTCAAGCATTCTCTTATCTTTTTCCTTGTACTTTCATGCATTTTCTTACATTATCTCTCATTCGTTTTTCTTCTCTCTTCTCTCGTACTCTCTTCTACCTATTCTTTCGTACTCTTTCCATTTCTCCTTCTTTTCTATTCTCTCATACTTTCTTTATTCATTTTCTCACCTTTTCTCTCATACTCTTCTTCATTTTTTCTCCTATTTTATATCTTATCATTCACGCTATTCTTTTATTTTTTTACACTCTTTTCCATGTATTTTTTTCTGTCTGTTTTTTTTTCTTCTTTTCTCTTATCTCCTTTTTTTATATTTTCTCTTATTTATTATTTATCTATTTTTCTATCGATTCCTCTATTTATTCTATCATGTTCTTTGTGATCAATTTTTTTCTTCACCTTCATGTCCTCCATTTCGCATAATTCACCTCATTTTTTCTCTCTTTTATCCCATGATACTGTCTATCCATTTGTCTATCCTTTTTTTCTGTTTCATTGTATTCCTTCTCTTCTCGATTATTTTTGCATTTTTTTACAACTTTTAGTCTCTTTCTTTCTCTATGATTTTGATATTTTTCTATGTATGATGATGTCCAAACTCTGTTCTATATGACCTTCATCTTCTCTCATACATTGGTTGGCCACTTTTAGTGCTCTTTATGTCTGCCGTCGAACTGCTGCCATTTCCATTTCTCTTTGATCACGAAGGTCGTCTTCATCATTTATAGGTTCACAGTATACTTTCTCTTTAATATACTTCCATTAAAAAAATCGAAAGGTGTCCAGTCAGGTAATCTTGGCGGCTATTTTTGATAATATGACCTTAACCCAATCCGTTTATTCAGATACATTTAATTCAGTCGTCTAATGACATCCTCTTCGCAATGAAGCCCCGCTCCATCCTGTTGCCAAACTAAATTGTCTAAGCAGACATCCCCTCTAAGTCCGTTAAGCAAAAATGTAGGACCAATCTAGATGTTCGAAAATAAAGTGATCAGGAACAAAGAAGATGGGTGAAGATAGTGCGTAAATGACAAAAAGATTATTTAACACAAACAAGTATTTTCGTGTGCATAAATGTGCTGATTATAAGCATGAAAAGGACTGTCTTATTTAAAGATAGCTTCTTCAGTTCATAATATCCGCCGAAGAAATTCATAATCACCCTGCACTTGATCTCTGAATCACTTACAATAAGCTAACCGTTTCAGTAGATCACCGTCTTCTAGGCGATTCACAGGACTATAGTGGTAAGGATGGAGACCATCTCACCACAAAACTTTACTTATTGTCCGATGGCTGATGTTCAACATCCCGTGCGATTCTCTGGTCCTGAATGTGGGATAATGTTCAAAATACCTAAAAATTTGTCTCGTTATCTTTGATAATGACGAGAGTGTCCTGCATTTAAACGAGAAGTTAACACAATCCTTTCGTTATTTCGAATCCGTTCTGGTAAATTGTCCAACGCTTGGGCATCTGGATGTTTCACACGATCGAGAAATCTTTCCGCGTGAAGACGAATCGCATCATCAATATTTTTACTACAGTTATAGAGTATTTAATAGTAACTCACTGTTCATACATATCTAAAATACATAGACATCTGATTATGGAAAAAAATATGTGAGGAGAAAGTACGAGAAAACAGATGAGAAAATGCATGAAAGAAAGTATGGATAATTAGATGAAAAAGAGCATGAGAAATACATGAGAAAGATTATGATAATGAATGATAGAATTCATAAGAAAATGTATGAGAAAAAATATCGGAAAATTGATGAGAAGGAACATGAGAGAATGAATAAGAGAGACTACAAGAGAATATGTAAGAGAGAACAAATGGAGAAATAAATGAGATGAAAGAAAGACATTTTTTTCAAATTACCTCAATATCAATTATTCGTCATACATTGTCATGGAATATTTTTTTATTCTATATTCATAACACATTTGACTTTCTTGCATATTTGAATAACTCAAAAACGGACAAAAAGAAAAACACATAATTGATTTATTGGTGTTCTTCTTTATGTTGGCCATAAAAAATTTATTATTGTTAAAACATACGGCTGAACGAGAAAAAAAATCTTGAATTCGTAGAATGCAAAACCGTTACACGTTTAAATAGCTACTTATAAATTGATTTACTATAATTTGTGTCACTCACAAATCATACTTTTGGGAAATTATTTAAGCTTGAAATGTAAGGGAAGCAGTGACGAAACTATTAAAATGGAATAAATATTAATTTACAGTAACCAATCGATTATACTCTTAGGAATTATTGAAGTTTATATTTCAAGAACCGAAAATAAGACTATTGAGGATAAAGAGAATCATGATGGTTGTTTCGAAAAAAACATGATTAATATTCGACCCTCAGTGAGTGGGAGGATAAATTTGTGTTTCATAGGGAAAAGATTTGTAACACTTGGTAATAAGACGAAGTAATGAGTTATATTATTATTTATCGGTGTACCTTATTCGAAAATATTATGAAGTTATAATGTTACTTGTCGTGTAGCTGAAAAAAACTTCTGTTACTCCTTAAATTATAAAAAAAATAACATTCTGATTTGTCTTGTTTAGGTATGGTTTTCTAATAGACGAGCGAAATGGAGGCGCCATCAACGAATGAACTTGTTGAAGAATTCTTCATCTGCATCATCTGCACAACTACCAACAACAACTTCTGTTACAGCTACATCTTCTCGTGTTGACATGGACACTCTTGGATATAGAACATCTCCAAACATATGTTATCCCATGACTGATATAGGAAGTCAAAATAGTGCTTTTCATCCAGTCACAACAACTGCACCTATACGAAATTCGATTAATTCGGAAAGTGCTCCGACTGAATTTAAATTAATAAGTAAAATTATCGAAAAAAATTCATCCCTTTTAAATGCGAATGCAACAAATACAGGTTTTTTGAACACAGAGAAAGCATTAGAATTACAAATGGGAACCCAAAGATCCATTGAAAGTAGTCCAGAGTACCAAACTCCAAAATCAAATTATATTCCTGCTATTACTCCCCCAATCCCTTGGAAAAATCAATATATCGATCAGCAACCATTAGAACTTATAAAACATGATCGTTAGAATAAAATTTAAAAAAGAAAAATCAATTTCAAAATCTCCAACACTGTCAATGATTTCCAGTAGAACTTTATGACAATCATACAAAAAAGCATTGTACAATTTTTTAAGTAATACATATAGCGGTTAAACCAGTGGGGTTAAACTTAAGAGACAATTATAATACGTCAGATTTTTCTTTATTATAACTAAACCTTAGGATAGTTCAATATTCTCATTAATGCAATTATCCATTGAAGATTAAAAAATAAAAGTTATTATAAGTTAATTCAAACTTATTCATTTCGAAAAGTTACAACGTGGATCGTAAAAATTCTTATTTTATTGGCTACCAATTTTTTCGTATTAGATTTATATCAAATACTTAATTTTGTAATTTATATTTCAATTTTACTGGATTTTTATTCTTCTTTTTTTTAAATATATTTGATTATTGAATTCTGAGAGTTCCAATGACAAATAGGGATCGTTTTTAGTAGCCAAAAATATAGAATCATTTTGCTGATACGCGAGTCATATATTTTATGATATAGTCGCAATGATAAAACAACACAGTGACTTTAATATTTTACCTTTTATTACTTCAAAGGAGTAGACAGTAGTGAATGTATGTTACGAACACGTAAATAAGAATGACATTTGTGATCCGAACCAAAAAATATACTCTGAATATAAATCTATAAATGTGTATTTATAATTTAAAAAATTTATAGAATCTGATATTTTGATAAAGTATTAGTCATTCATCTGTATTACTGATAGTCATTAAAATATTCATTAAAGATATCTGTTTTTGCTATTTTTTATTTTATTTATTTACCTTATTTCAAGAATAATGTCTTTTTGTGACTAATAAACAATAACCTTTTTTATACAGATAGAAAATAAGTATGAACACATTTTTGACAACGAGTAGGATTTTTTTTTCTGATTAAGGCACAATAACTTCATGCTCTTCACGAATGTGAAAAATCTACGAAATATACTGAATAATGCATAGATTTTGAGGTTTAAGAAAGAAATGATTCGTTACTGGCAACGTCTGTCTTATTTGTTTATTTGCAATTCCACTGAAATGGCGGCTGATACAATGCTTTTTTTTCATCATTTTATCTCTTTAGAATCACCAAATGCTGGATCATAATGACGTCGTTAATCTAATCGTTCCTCAAGTAACTCTTGTTGTGTTATTTAGAACTCATCAAATTCAACAAACTCGCTATTACTGGACAACCCAGACTCTACACTCATTAGTAGCAGATTACTTTTGTTCTGACTTGGAGGGCCCCAAGTCAACAAGTCTCAGAATATTTGAAAATTGTTAATGCCGGACTTGTCCACCGGCGCGTCAGTCAACTCACTGGGCCAATCATCGGGAAGTATTTCCCTCATGGCCCAGAAGGCAACTCTACGGCCCTAGTGACGCCAACAAGCACGCGGTCGAGCACTTGTGGCGTCAATTAGCTCCAGGCAAATCACGCAGTCATCTCTGTATAATTTTTCGCAGTCACATCGCGGTTTTGTGCAGTCAGCTCACCTTTGGTAGTACCATAGTCCAGTCAAATGAGGGAAATGGGATAATTTTGGTTTGCTGCGGCCAAATTAATGATTTATGGATGACTGGATCGGAAATTTCGCGAGAAACACAATGGTGTAGGTTAAAATTGTTTGGCACGCATAGGGGGGGAGTAAGTCGCGAAAAACCGCCCCCCTCGCGAATTTCTCGATTTCTATGATAGATATGAAAAAATGTTTTAAATAAAAGTTGTTCAGAATTTAATTTTAATAAAAAAAGTACTGAACACTTTTTTTCATATCTATGATAGATAAAAAGTTATTCGCGACTGAAGCTTCACTATTGACAAAAGCTTCAGTCGCGTCTAAGAAAATTAATAAAAAATACTTAAAGTTAGAAATATTACTTTTTGGCGATTGATTTCGAAAAATAAGATATTAAATTTCATTTTTAGAGAAAAATTTTTTTTTTTTATTAATTTTTTCATTATTTTTATACACAATGAATTATTTAAATCCTTCTCATTTTGGTTCAAATGCACCGATCAGCCCGATTTTGGGCTCAAAATGTGCAGAATTAAAAATGGAACATTTCATCTATGCAAAGTTTTTTATTATTTTGCACCTGTTAAAAGTTATACAGGTATAAATATTTGGGCCCCCGAGAGCACTTTTCCTCTTCTGCCGCCGTTGGGTGCGACAGAGAGTAATACATATCTCTCTGCTTCACTCGCACTCACACAAAACTTCTGCGCATGCGCCGAGTATGGTAAAACATGAGTGCGAGTGAAATGCTCAATCCAACCGTAAGTGTGACAAAGACACTATACGGTGAGCGAAGAGGGGATGTTTTGGGCTCATGCTGGTTACTTAAAAAGTCTTTTCGAGCTCGAAATTTTTCAGCGCGAGAATTTTTCTAAGTTTTACGCGCTTTAAATTTTAGAGAAAATTTGTCAATTTTAGGTCCAATAATCATATATATAGATCGATAGAGAATTAAATTTCCTATCGATCTAGCTATACTTTTTTGGACATTTTTTCCCGATTTTTTTTGCCAAAAAAAATAATTATTCGGGAGAGAAAAAATTTATATCTCCCACATAATTAGATCAATCGATCTAAAAATGTGCATACATGTTCTTGACATATCTATGAACGTGTTTGCCAATTTTCGCATGTTCGTGATGACCGGAAGTCATCCATTTGAATTTCTAAAAAAATAATAATGGAAGAAAAAATAATTTTTCCTCTCCCGAATAGTGATTTTTTTGCCCTTTACTTTTTTTTAAAAAATTTATATGGATGACTTCCGGTCATAAAAAAATTATAAATATTAATTAAATTAAAAAATTAAAAAATTGGTTATTAAAAAATTTATATTTTTGATTTATATTTTTAATTTTTGGGGATACTACGGTTTCCGTGGCGCCGCCATTTGAGGGTGTTTTTAGATAGATCGACCAAAAATAAGTCGAAAATGAAGAATAACATTTTTCGATATCTCGCTTCGTTTTCGAGATATCGAAGGTCAAAGTTTTTATATACGGATGGATGAAAAAGGAGACTGCGCTAGAAAAACAGTCGATAAACAAGATTCCTTTGTGAAGTACATTTCAAACTAAAAGCGCGAATCATTACAAATAATACTAAAAATTGACATTGCATACTTTTCAATAGAATCATAGATAGTATAGAATCGTAGATAGTAGCATACCCCAATCCGTGCTTTTCAGGCAGAATCAACTATCAACTAGCACAAAATTGTGTAGAATTGTCTCAAGTAGATAGTAGCATACCCCAATCCGTGCTTTTCAGGCAGAACCAATTGTCAACTAGAACAAAACTGTGTAGAACTGTCTCAAGTAGATAGTAGCATACCCCAATCCGTGCTTTTCAGGCAGAATCAACTATCAATTAGCACAAAATTGTGTAGAATTGTCTCAAGTAGATAGTAGCATACCCCAATCCGTGCTTTTCAGGCAGAACCAACTATCAACTAGAACAAAATTGTGTAGAATTGTCTCACTAGTCGACAGAGCTAACTGATATACCTAACATTACAAAAAATGAACATTCACACATTTTCGTTTATATTTCTAGACAATTTTGGCTATAAAAAGCTAAATTTTATAGGCTTTTTACACTCGAAGTGCACCACGGGACGGTATTGTCTAATCGCACTTTATACACAACAGAAGGGGACCCCTCGGCTCGTCACTCCCGAAGTATTTTATGACTCCAAACCCCTCCTGTTGTGTTGAGACTAATTAGTTTCAAAAGACATCCTCACCATCGTATTCTGGATCAGAGTCTCTTTCTATTGCTCTCTCAATATCGTCCTCTTCGTCATCCGAACCATCTTCTAATCTCATTTTTTTTGCCGGTGGTAAAAATTTCTCTTCTTGAGATGATGTGAAACATGGTGGATCAATTTCTTTAATTGTTATTCCTTTCTCCAAGTTTCCTTTCACTACTCCCGGATATACTTTTTTAATATCAAGGAGGAATTGCATGATTTGGGAACCCAGATCTCCCTTATACTTATCCAAATATGTCTTTCTATAAAAATAGAGAGCCATATATTGGTGTAGAAGTTTTGGGGTTCTACGACATTTAATCGATTTTTTTAACAATTTATTTTGGTTCTCCAAATCATTAATGGTATTTGCCGGATTTGATTTATCAACATATTCACCGATACTATGATTTGTTCGCAAATGAACAGTACTATGAGCGAACATTCGTTCAACTCCTTCATACTGTTTTGCGCTGTCTGTACATATTCGGGATGTTGATGAATCTACATACTTTTGTATGTACGGCCACAATTCCTTCTTGCTTTTTCCATTTACTTTTAAAAATAACCCAACTTTGTCTTCCTTGCAATATAAACCAAGAACGGTTGTAGTCATTTGCTCGGTAACACGGCCCCGATTGTATTTTCTTTTAGTCAAAAATGTTTCATCAATTTGGACCGTTTTACCTTCGCCACCAAGTACCAAATCACTGTGTGATGCGATTACTTCAGCTATTTCTCGGCAATAACTGAAGTAATCAATTACAGTATTCCAACTAAGCTCGGGGCAATCTCGATGATTACGCCAAGCTTTGAGATGATTATACACATCAGTGACTTGCATCTGAATCGCGAAACAAATGACGATTGCAAGTACATCGCGTACTTCGATGCGACACGTATTTCCTTCGAAAAACGTATCAGACGCTGGGTTTATAATTTTTCGGCACGATTTATCTCTTCTCTTCTTTGATCCTTTTGAAGAACACCTCCATACCCATTTGAGTTTTTTGTCTCCAAAATCCTCAACGAGCATTGGGAGATTACAACATGTCGGTGGTGTCGATTGACGCGACGGAATTAAGCCGATTTCTTCGAGAAAAGAAATTGCTAATTCATTTGTTGTAACAAGTTCTCCAAAAGAATGAAAGAATGAAAAATTTTCTAATTTACTATGTAATTCTGGATGCATACCTGACATTTTGGAAACTTGTAGAAAAGAAGAACAGCAGAAAGAAAATCGACAAAACGAACGATACCGAAGAACAATGGAAACTGATACAAATAAATAATCAATCATTTTAGTATTATTTGTAATGATTCGCGCTTTTAGTTTGAAATGTACTTCACAAAGGAATCTTGTTTATCGACTGTTTTTCTAGCGCAGTCTCCTTTTTCATCCATCCGTATATAAAAACTTTGACCTTCGATATCTCGAAAACGAAGCGAGATATCGAAAAATGTTATTCTTCATTTTCGACTTATTTTTGGTCGATCTATCTAAAAACACCCTCAAATGGCGGCGCCACGGAAACCGTAGTATCCCCAAAAATTAAAAATATAAATCAAAAATATAAATTTTTTAATAACCAATTTTTTAATTTTTTAATTTAATTAATATTTATAATTTTTTTATGACCGGAAGTCATCCATATAAATTTTTTAAAAAAAAGTAAAGGGCAAAAAAATCACTATTCGGGAGAGGAAAAATTATTTTTTCTTCCATTATTATTTTTTTAGAAATTCAAATGGATGACTTCCGGTCATCACGAACATGCGAAAATTGGCAAACACGTTCATAGATATGTCAAGAACATGTATGCACATTTTTAGATCGATTGATCTAATTATGTGGGAGATATAAATTTTTT